ACATGGGGAAGCCRCCCCTGCCCCGGCACGCGGCGCGGCTGAACGCAGGGGTTTGCTCTTTGCAGCTGCACTCGCGTGCTCGGTGGAGCAGGAGGCTTCTTTGAACCGCATTTGTTTAAATTTGAGCAGAAATCAATTTCCATTAGTAAGGAAATACACGCAAAAGTGGAAAATTATGAATAGAATAAGGAATGAGCTCATAATTGCATCCTGTGTTCCACGCACGAGCCCCAGTTTTCCGCATGTAGCCATTGGCTTTCCTTCAATTTAATCTATATTTAAGTTACTCTTTTTTTTTTTACATTTATTAAAATAAATCTATGCAGGAGCAGGTGATGTTTAACCAAGCATTTGGGGTCTCTCTTCCCCAGGTTCACTCAGAACATGTCCGTGTTCCGGAGGGACGTGGCCGAAGCTCTGCGCAGCGAAGGGGCCTCCGACCCCAGCAGCTTGGACATGATGAGTTGACAGCTTGGGACGATGGCGCCACCGACTCGGAGAGTCTGGGAACCTACTGTTAGATTTTGACCCTCGTGAAAGCTATTTTTTTAAATATAACTTCAGCCTTTTTATATCTCTGGCCTAAATGTAAGGATTTATAACAGTGAAAACGATGTAAAATCAGCCTTAGCTTGAAGAACATTTTCAGCCTTTCTTATCAAAATTTATTACCTTGTTCTTTTATCTTTATGAAACAATGTAGAAACAGTACTTAACCAAAGAACAAAATAAATATGCATTGCTTCTAAATTTGTATTAGTTAATGATTCTCAGTTCGATACATCTTAGTAAGGGATATTTCTGATCACTAAAAATTTTGCGCTGGCTTTGGCTGCGGTCGTATTTGTTTGAAAATGAAATGAGAAAGAGTACGAATTTTATATGACATCTGTTTTGAAACAATAAAACGATTATTTTTCTACAAAACGTTACCCATTTCTTTCAGCACCGGAGGATGGTGACCAAAGGTGGGCCGCGAAACAGAAGACTTAAAAATAAACTTTGAGCAGATAGGCCCTGATAGGAAGGTCGCAGCACGAGGAGGGCGAAAGCGGCCTCTGAGCCGGACCCGGGAGCGGATTCCATGGGGATGGGGGCGCATTCCYCGGCTTTCCGGGACACGTTATCCCCTCGTGCGGCAGGTGCCGGGTGTGCAAAGGAGTCGCAGCGACGTTTGGCACCAACAAGAACCATTTCAGCCGTGATCAGCTCGTGCTGTCCGCAGGCTTCTCGGGCACTCACAAAGGGCTGCGATTCATTTGAGCTGCAGCATTTTTTTTCCCCCCCAAAAAAAAAAACTTAAATCTGCTTCAAGCATTTTTTGTGCTGTTCTAATATTTGCATATCAGTAATATTTCAGCACTCGTTAAATAAAAATATGAGCTTTGCATTGTGGCCAGCAGGGAGCAAAAGCTCACATCAATATTTCAATTTTTTTTTTCTGTAGAACTATAATTTTTCCACATCTTTTTCAACTTGAGGGCCTAAATCTGAAAGGATGTTGTTTTCTTAAGTAATTTTTTGGTTTTGTGCAAGTTCAGCTGAAGAAATTAACCCAACTCCAGCCCAAGGGCCTGATTTCCAAGTGCGCTGCGCTCCCAAGGAAAGGGGCTGACTGAGGTGACCGGGGTTTCGGTGTTTCTAAGCGTGGATTGCGAACCTGGTGCCCTGGATCAAGGTTGGAAAACCTCACAGCAAGTCAGGTCCTGACATATACCTCAAAAACCTGAAAATGAGTCAAGTCCTGAATTTTCCACTCAGCTCCTCAGTGAAATGAGAGTTGTGGCCGGTAGGTCACACTGGGGAAGTTGCAAGCGCGCTACCTGCCTCTTATGGTTACCTAAACAAATAGGGACTCTAAAATACATCATGTTTTCCCCAAAAACACATTGTGCAGAGTCACGGTGAGGAGAGACAGCAGCGGGATGGCTGTGGGGAAGGAGTCCCAATTCCTGGTCCCTCTGCCTGCATCAGGAAGCACCCAAGGAACGTGGCCTGTAAAATAAGTCCTCAGGCTGTTAACACGTTCACGACGAACCTTCAAACTCGTCGGARAAGGCGCTTCCTCGCGGAATTGAAAAATAGTGGTGGGGGTGGCAGCTTGGTAGGTACCTGCGGTGCCCTCGCGGCCGCGAGCGCCGCTCGGCCCGGCTGCTTCCCGGGCTCCGCAGGAAGCACCATGGATTGTGGAAGTTACGATTCTGCGAGGAAAAGCCCAAACGTGAGTTATTCATAAGGGCGAGATCCAGCCGGTATCACGATAAATAAACCAATAAACCCTAACGGAGCCCTGCRGCCTGCTGCGAGGTGCCCGGCCAAGGGCGGGATTCGCCGAAGGCCCCGGCAGGGAGCGAAGGGGCAGAGAGGGGAAGGGCCGGGGGCGATGGGCGCGTGGCCTGGCTCGTGTCCCAGCCSGCCCGTGGGACTGGCCCGGTCCCCCAGGTCTCGGCAGCGCTGTCCCTGTCCTGCCGCACGGAACAGGCTCCCGGGCCCACGGGGACGTGTCCCGCTCCGGCCTGCGGCTCCTGGGCGCTCCGCAGGGCCCGTTTCCCGCGCGGTTTTTGCATCTCCCCCCCGGCCTCGCGGCGCGTGGCTGTGGGCGCAGCGGGGCCCGGACCCCTCGGCGCCGGGGACAGGAAACCGGGCCGGGGCGGCCGGGACCGGGAACGGCCGCGTGCGGGGCCCTGTCCGCCCAGCTGCCCCGCACGGACCAGCGCGCAGAGCCGCCTCCTGCCCCGGCGGGGCGGGACGGGACGGGCGGCACCCGCTCCGCGCCGCAGCCCCGCTCCCGTTCCCAGCCCCGCTCCCGGTCCCAGCCCCGCTCCCGGTCCCAGCCCCGCTCCCGGTCCCAGCCCCGCTCCCGGTCCCGCCGCTCCGCGGGGACGCGCGGGGGAGGCGGCAGCGGCCGCGCAGGGAGAGCGGGGCGAGCGCGGGAGAGCGGCAGTTAAGGACGCCATACGTCCCGGGTTATTAATTATAAAACGTAATTAAAGTAAAACTGCAGAACGTCAACATATTAAATTTAAAAGCTAATATTAAAATAGAGTTAATATTTAATAAGGTAGCCGAGCATTACAAAACTGTACGCTGATACGCTATATTTAACTGTGTAAAACCGGGAGAGTTTTCCCAAAGAAAAATGTATTGTTTAGCTGATTATCAAAGACTCTGTGATATATTATCCATTTCACAAAAATAATATAGATATCTTTTTAAATATAGTAATAAAAACATACTAGCGCCTTTTAAATATACTATTACTTACCACCCCTTTTCATATTGTACTATCACAGACACTTTGGAATTGGTTTAAAAGCACATCATTCATTATTCAAAGCTCATCTTTGCATATTATTCCAGCTCAAGTCTGCCAGGCTCCCTGTGAAATCGTTCACAAAATTGATAACAGCAGACACACATGCAATAAAAAGATAGCCTTGGGCAGCCAGAGTTCCCATTATGCAGATCAAGCCGCAATTTTCTCTAACAAAGCCTGCCCTGATTCAGGACTGGGTGTCACTTTATTTATTTATTTAGTCCTTTTTTTTTTTTCCCTCCCTTTTTTATTTTATTTTTATTTATTCCGCTCTCCCTTTTTTCCTTTTCGTTCTCGCCGTGGCCCCGCGCAGCGCGGCCGGCGCGCGGGACGGGGCCGCGGTGGCTCCGGGGGCCCCGTCGGCGCCGCCGCAGCCGCGCACGCAGCGCGCAAACGTCCCCCCGGCGCGGCCAGCGGCCCTTTAATCGTTTTCCCGTCCCAAAAGCGCCCGGCGGCGCAGCAGATTTTCCCCCCTTAATGCGATTAAAGAAGCGCCCGGGCCGCGACGCCCCCCCGGGCAACCGAGACGGACTTTCCGTGTCCCGCAAGTGCGCAGCGATTTGCGCCTGTCGGGAGTCGCGACGGGCGCCCCAATCGCCGCGAACGGCCCCGCGCGGCGCCGCGAACCGCAGCCCGGCGGCGGCTCCCGTCGGGGCGGCCGCGGGCGCTGCCTCCGCGCGCTCCCGTCCCGCGCTAACGCGGCCGCTCCGCGCGCTAACGCTGCCTGCATTATTCGGCGCGTCGCCGTAATTGAATCCTGGGCGTTAAAAACTAATAAACTGCTGCCGCGTCCCCGCTCCCTGGAATCGCGGATCGGCCCGACCAGGTGCTGCTCAAACGCTATTACATTCTATTAAAAGGAAAATTCTATTCCCTGTTTTCATTTCCCTTTATAAAGGGGGAACTAAGTAAATGCATCTGAGCGTTATTTAATTTTTAACGCCTTTAGTCCAATTTGGACGTCAGGGAGCGTCTGCAAACTCACTTAGCGGCCGCGCCTGGCACTAAGTTTGTTGACGCCAATTAATCCAAAACGGGATCTCTTTGTGCGGCGCGCGGAGACCCCCCCGCCAGGTCCCGCCGCCACCGGCCGCGCGCCCCGACGGGCTCCGGGGCAGCGCGGACTGGGGTGGGGGGGCGGTGCCGGTGCCGGTNCCGTGTCCTGTGTGCCAAGGGTGCGGGTCACAGGGGTGCCCGTATGGGCATGAGGAGGAGGATGTGGGTGCCGTTGAGGAGGCTGCAGACCCCCAGTGCATGCAGAGATGGGCTGCAGGGCCCAGGCAGTGCTGGATGTGGAGCCCTGTGTGTGCGTTGTCCCTGGGAGAGGCCAGGGCTGCTGTGGGTGAGTGAGGAGGAGGAGGAGGAGGCTGGTGCCGCCTTCGGGCAGGGAGCCGAGTGCCTGCAGACACTCACTGGTGCCGAATGTTGTGCACGGAGGAAGGGGTGCTGGGTGTCCGACCTTGCTGCTGGTGCCAGGCTGGGACCAGGCCCATGGTGTGGGAAGGCCCGGCCTTGTCCGGCTCCGCTGGAGGCGCTTCCCAAGATGGCGGTGCTGCCACATCCACAGTGCTCGGCTCCCGCGCGGCCGCTTGGCTGCAGCAGCTGCTGCGGTTGCAGCACCAGATACAGCGTGTGCTGGGGGGCCCAGTGCCACGGCCTCGCATCCCCAGGGAGGGAGTGGGCGATGTCGGTGCAGAGGGTGGGAGGCGCCGGGGCCCATGGAGGCCCCTTCATGGCGCCAGCAGAGCCGCGTTCGCCTCCCAGCCCATGCGGCCGCCCCGCGGTGACGAAGCACCAGCCCTGCACAGGGGCGGCGGGTGACGTCCCCGGCTCCTGCCTGGCGCCAGCAGCGGGTGCACGGGCGGCCCCTCCCCGGCACGGGGTCTCCCATCGCCGCCATCACTCAGCGCCCTGGCCTCAGGGTGGTCTCAGGGCTGTCAGCATCTGTCGTCGTTGAGGGGCCGCCCGCCGCGGGGAGGGGAGCGGGGGCGTCCGGCCCCCCGCCCGCGCGGCTCCACCTGCATCCAGCGCTTCCACCCCGCGGCGGGAGCCGCCATCCCGCCCGCCCACCCAGCGCCGCTGCTGCATGGGAGGCAGCTCTGGCTGTGGGGCCGCGTGGGGCCAGCTGGGACCTGCTGCCGTACCGCCTGTGCAGGGCACTGCGCCCATGGGGCCGCCTTCCGCCATGCTCCGCTTGCTCTGGGCAACTGTCGTGGTCCCCAAGGGCCAGCCTAGTCGTGCACTGGCTGTGCCATGAACACCGGAGATGTGCACCAGCTGTGTTGGAAGCACTGGGAATGGCTCCTTGGAGCTGGGCTCCATTTACACTGGCCGTGTTGAGAGTCCTGGGGATGGCTCCTTGGAGCTGGGATCTGCCTTGAGCTCCCGGCACCTTTGAGGCCAAAGCGCTCCCCGGCGCCACCTGGCAGCAACAGGTCCCAGGGGACAGACCCCACACACTGTCCCAAGCTCTGGCTGCCTGCGGCACGGGTCACGACCTCTGCCTGGCCCCTGCGTAACCTGGGCAGCTGGTGGGCAGCCAGTCTGGCACTGCTGGCACTGGCACATGGAGGGGGACAAGAGCCGCCTCCATTGGCTCCTGGGATCCTGCCCTTCCCATCCAGGAGGTGTATGAAGCCCTGACGGGGGCTGCCAAGGGGCTGCTATGGGACCTTGGATTAGGCTGGCCCGGGTGGCTGTGCTGGGGGTGCCCTGTTCCCAGGGATCCTCAATTCCAGGGGTGCAGGTTTGTTTGAGGGGTGACACTGAGCTGAGCACAAAGTGTCACCCCCCGAGCCCCTGGCACAGTGCCTGGCTGCCCCTGGTGCAGCCCCTGTCTCACCCACGTCCCTCTGCCTGCAGCCGCGCTGTCGCCCTTTGCGGCCACCCGGCGCATCGGGCACCCCTACCAGAACCGCACGCCGCCCAAGCGCAAGAAGCCGCGCACCTCCTTCTCGCGGGTGCAGATCTGCGAGCTGGAGAAGCGCTTCCACCGCCAGAAGTACCTGGCGTCGGCCGAGCGCGCCGCCCTCGCCAAGTCGCTCAAGATGACGGACGCGCAGGTGAAGACCTGGTTCCAGAACCGGCGCACCAAGTGGCGGTGAGTGCGCGGGCGCGCGGCCCCCCGCGGGCCGCCGGGCGCTGCGCGGGCGCTGCGCGGCGCTGAGCGCGGCCGGGTGTCCCGTGCCCAGGCGGCAGACGGCGGAGGAGCGCGAGGCCGAGCGGCAGCAGGCGAGCCGGCTGATGCTGCAGCTGCAGCACGACGCCTTCCAGAAGTCGCTCAACGAGTCCATGCAGCCCGACCCGCTGTGCCTGCACAACTCCTCGCTCTTCGCGCTCCAGAACCTGCAGCCCTGGGAGGAGGAGAGCGCCAAGATCCCGCCCGTCACCTCCCTCGTCTAGGCCCGCGGACCGACGGAGCGGCCGGGCGCACGGACGGACCGACGGGCGGCCGCGCCGCAGGGGCCGGAGCCGCCGCGCTGCTCTCCGCTTCCCCGGCCGCCCCCCCCTTGTATATTCGTGTCGATGTTCCACTAGGAAGGGGAGAAATAATGTCACTTTTTTTGTAAGAAGTGTTAATAATTTAATTTATTTATGCATCGAGATTTTGGGCACTATTACTAAGGAACTATATCAAACCTCGATTATTTATATCGAAATCCGAACGTAGGTATTTTGTGTTGGCTTTGGAACAAAAGGCTATTTCCCCGCTCCCTCCCCCGTTCTGAGGACAGTCTAAAGGAGAGACCTCCCCAGCGCTTAGCGGAGGGCACTAAGTGGAGCCGCTGACTCATTAGCTTAGGAAACCCTGTTAAGCCGAAAAGCAGTAGCTTCCATCTGTCCCAGGTGAAGTTAATGTCAGCCGTAATTTATTCACCCGAGTAATAAGGGCTCCTTCCAGGCAACACCCCCTTTTCTTCCGCCCTCACCTTCCCAGCCGATGCGCTTAGCAGCCGGAGAACAGCACCTACGCCCTCGCCATCGACTCTAGAGAAAGCGCCTTATGTTTCATAATAAAGAGGACTTGGGGTTGACACCGACCGTGTATAATACTTTGTACTTGCCGAGACGTGTAAATAAACGTTTTCTTTAAAAACGCCTCTGCGCTTCCGTGCGTGGCTGCGCGGCCGGAGCCGGGAGCGGCGCAGGATGCGGCGGGGACGCGGCCGGCGCAGGTGAGGAGCGGAGCGGGGCCGGGCGCGGAGCGAAGCGGGGCCGGGCGCGGAGGAGCCGCTCGTCCTGCAACGAGCGGAGGCGGCCGCGGAGCTCCAGCCGCCGCTGCGCGCGTTTTCCTTGGTGCTTCTTCCCGCGATTCGCGCCCCTCGTTGCGCGCCCCGCGGATCGGCCCCGCGGGCCCGACCGGGACAGAAATCCCGTTTTCAGCAGCCGCGGTAACGTGGAGCGGGTTCCCCGGCGTTGTCTGCGACATGCGGAGCGCTGCCCGCTYAGCCGGCCCGCGAGTCCGCCCGAGTTCGGGTGTATTTCGGTGTTTAAACGCGTKTGGGGGGCTCCGTATCACCTTGGACCGCGGGCACCCGCGGAAATTGGTCACCAGTATTGAGAAAATGAGGATTTCTCAAAGGGATTGAGAACAGATTCCTGTAGCTAATTCTATGTTTCTTTCTTTTCATTTTCTCTCTTTTTTTTTTTTTTTATTTTCTTTTTATTTTCTATTTCATTTTTTTTAAGGGTAGTGGGGCGTCGGTTCGTAGTTAAGATGTTGGGGTGGTGGGTGCGTGGGGGGTGACTGTGATGGCCAAATTCGGCAGGGTCGAATCCTGTCCGCCCGCGGGCGCTGGGACCGGGCAGCCGCTGCCCGTCGTTCTCCAACCTGGAATACGCGGCCGGCGCCAACGAATCCCGCTGCCGCGGAGGCGCCTGGAAGAAGAGGGAACACCAGCGAGGAAACCCGTGCCCGGCCGAAGATTTGGGGTAAACCTTGCTTATCCTGCACCCCCGCAGTGCGGGGCCCTGTTGCTGTCACCGCACTCGGTTTTGCTCTTCGAGCGTCGTTTAAAACCACTGCTTCCCCGGTGCGCGGAGCTTCCCGCTGTGCCGCGAGCAGCGGCACCGGGGCACGAACCGGCACCGGGGCACGAACCGGCCCCGCTCCATCCCCTCTGCGGGGGTCCGGCCCGAGGCGGGATTCGTAACCTGCCCGCAGCGGAACCGAGGCCCAGGTGCGAGAGCCGGGCTCGCAAACGCGGTCTGCATAAGCAGCGCAGGTACGGCACGCAGGAGGGATACAAACGCGCATGAAAACGCGGACGAGGCGAACTGTGAATAACATCGCGGAATAAGTGGCTCTGCACATTCACATTTTGTGTATTTGATTGTTACGGTTTATCTGCCCCACTCACGTCTCTACATTTTTTTCTCATCTGTGTTGCTTTTAAGACAGCTCCTTCCTGAACAGCCCTCGTGTCGCACGGCCGTGAACTTCAGCATTCCTGCTTTCCCTGCAGTTTTCCCGGAGCTGCCGTGTGTTCGCGCAGCGTGGGACGCCGCGGGGCCGGGGGCTCCGCGTTCCCGCTCACAGCGGAGCCGCCGGGACCCCCCGAGCCCCGCAGGGTCCTGCACGACCCGGGCCCCGCAGCGGCTCCGCAGGCGGCCGCGGAGCCGCCGACTCGGCTGCTGAGCGGCTGCTCTGTCGTCCCCGGAGCTGCGGAGGAGCCGAGGAACCTGCAAGTCAGCGCTCAGACACGGCGTGGGTTTCTTTGGGATGCTTTTGCCCTGGAGGAGCTGGCCACTAAATCCTGGGATTTTTTTTTTAACGTATTTATTTATCCTTTTGGAATTTAAGAGGGAGAGGGAGGCTTTAAAAAGACAGATTGGGCTGGAGGCTCTCGGAAAAGCGGCATCTGCAACCCTGGTGCCCGGGCTCGCTGCTCCTCGCCCAGGGGCAGTGATTCCACCTGCTGCCTCCCGATCCAACCCCCCGGTACAGAAGGTGCCCGGGGCCGTTCCCCGCTGAGCTCGGCTTATCCTCCAGCCCCCGGTTCGTGCTGGGCTCCTGGAGAGCTTCCCCAGGCGGCTCCAATGCAGCGAGAGCGACGGCGGCAGCGGCTCCTGCTCCGTACAGCGGTGCGGCCGGTCGGATTCCCGGTCCAGCTTTTTGGGGGGCACCCTTTGCAGTGTCACGTTTCTATGTGTTGCTGTCRCAAAATCGCTAATTCTTTGCACGTGCATGTCCTTTCCTAGCTGGTCATCCACAAATAGCACGCGGCGTTCCCACGCCTGTGCGTGCTGGGAAGCGTGTCCTATGCACTTGCACTCACTCCTGTTCGGAAATGTTAAGCCCAGGAAAGCTCCTATTTAAGCATGCTGCTGAACAGGGACAGAAAAAGGCGACGAGAGTTAGATATCACTGAATTATCAGCGGGGTTTACCTTTGAGCAGGTCATTTTCTTGCATTTGCTTAATCCTGTGCAAAAGCTGTTCTGTGTGTAGGGCCCAGCAGCTGAGTGCACAARCGCAGATACAGAACTGGGGATAACTGGAGCCATGTGTCATGTTTACTGTCTCCTCCGAGTCCCTCCTGAGGTTGCTTTAAGCCAAAACCAAGCCAGGCCCCCTGTACCACGCTTGCCACGTGCAGGCACAACCCAGCTCTGTATAAAACCGGCTACAGAATTTGCATCGCTCGGCATTATTTTGTGCCCAGGGTATTAGATGCCGCGACGTAATGCGTGGTGATCGGATCTCTATAGGCAATTCTTTTCCTAAGTGGGTCTTAAAATCAATGGGTTATTAGCTCTCYTCCTCCTCCCCGTGTTGAAAGCAAAGTCCTGGTAAACATGCAAACTGCACAATATTCAGAAGCCTTGGTTTACAAAAGTCTAGCTCAGCTGGATTGTAACTTAATTTATTTGGAGCTAATATAAATAACATGGAGATTTACACCTYTTATGTGCATGAATTTCCCTTGAAGTGTGTGTTTGCTTGCTGTTCCCATGGAGTTATTTAGGGCCATGCCTCACCTAGCTGTGCTTGCCCRTCTAATAGGTCCTCCTGAGCTGGTAGAACATGTCCCAGGGTGGTGCCTGATGGATGGACCAGCTGTGGACCGGATGGATGCAGATGCTTGTCCTGGACATAGGTAGGATTTGTTTCCAGTGGGAATATTAAGCACATCACTTGCATTAGGCAATTTTTGATGCTGTGTTGACCTTTTTCACTCTCAGGTCTCTTAAGTTTCTCTTTCTGGTGCCTCACAGAAGCATTAGGCACCCAGCAAAGGAATAAACATTTCTATTAGGTGTCTATATGATTTTGAGGATCTGAGTTCACCCTCCTGTATTGGACACCCAAAGCACCATGTGCTTTGGCCACTCTTGTCTGGGAACTGTCTTCATTTCTTGGCCCATAAACACTCAATTTTAAGGCCATAAGTGCAGTAGTATTTAGGTATTTTACTCCCATGGATTTCAGTTGGGGTCAAGAACCCAAATGCTCTCTCCAGGTCGTGGTGCAAAATAGGATCTGGGCATTTACAGGCACATCTGCACTGTGAATTCAGGAAGGCACTGGGATGTGGGAAGCTGAGACACCTAGGACGGTTTCTGCTGTTGTTAGGTGGCACAAATGGAGGTTTTGGTATTTTTTAAGCTGAAGCATGATATATTTTCTTCATTCTGCACCTTCACAAATCGAGACCTTTGCTCTCAGGTTACTCAAAAGATTTTTCAAAAGGAAAAAAAAAAACAAAGTGAAATTTGCCTTAATTTTCCACTAACATCTAAGAAGATCTGAAAAGAGATCAAGGCTGGCATGTTGACTTTGACCCTCGGCGAGCTTTCAGACCTGAGCCTGCAAGCGTTTGCCCATTGGGAATCCAACAGGACACTGCTTGACATGGAAAAGTGTGTGAGCATAGGACCTCTGTTACTATCAGCTTGTGCTGCTTGTTATGATGCTCTTCATTAGGCGCTGCACAGAGGCAGGACTGCTGTGGATTAGACCCAGATGTTTTYCTTCCTAGAGCAGCTAGATCTGCAAAGTTATCCCTGTAAGTCAGCAAATGGGACATGCCTGTGGAGTTGTGCTAATGTCACAGCACCCATGGAGCTTCCTGCTCCCCTGGGTACTTTTGCAGGTCTTTGGGAGTGATGTCCACTCATGGTCAGAGTTAGGAGCGGGCCCCTGGCTGGTAAGTGTCCTGTCTCTAGCTCTGATATTCAGCTGAGTTGTTTGACTACACCTCTTTCCATCTCTTTAGGTGATTCTGCCTGTTATATGTCAGTGGTGAGATGTACTTTCCTCTGCATTATGACAATGTTCCAGGCTTTGGGGTCTAATCCACATGGGAAGTGGACACCGTTGAAGAACCTTGTGAACCTCCATGGGCTGGTTCAGATCTCCAAGCTTAACAAGAACGTCAGACTGCCTAGGCAAGGCTGAAG